ATCGACCACGACGACGATGACGACGACGAGGAGGACGATGATGATGGTGATGTTAACGGTGGCGGTGACGGTGGCGGTGACGGCGACGGTGACGGTGACGGTGACGGTGACGGCGCGTCGTCGCACGGACACGGAGACCCGGCGAAGCTTCTCGAACGACGAGGAGAGTCGTGGATAGGCGCGGCGTCGTCGAGGAACGGCGACACGGCGCGGCACGAAGAACCGTCCAATTTTGGCGTTACGACGCGGCGATGTTGATAATCGCCGCCGCGGCGAGCACTCATCGATTCAAAATGGCCGCCGCCGCTGCGCAGGGGCAACGCGAATACACGCACGCATCACGCACGCGTTTCGCCTCGTCCGTCCGCGCGTACATACGTACACGACGGAACGGCGTGAGAAAGAGTCCATTCGCAGGAAGGATGTCTCGCGGAGAAAAACGTTTACGTACACCAGGCGCGTCTCTGTGACGCTCCCTCTTCACAGCCACATACAAACACGGACACAGTGGCGCGCGCCACACACACACACACACACACAACGCAACGCAACGCAAGCGCGTACACACTGGTACACACGCGCGAATCTCGATTCTCGCGGAGCCTATTTCCTTCGGCCACGCGTACCGAGAGGTCCGAGAGGCTCGGCGAGGACGGCGAGCGAATTCGTCATCGCCGCCCGGCGCGCGACGTCGCGATTCGTCAGCGCGACACGACGGATGGTCTCACTGCGCGAATATCGTCGGCATAGTAGATACCGTTAATACGCTCTCTTTCTCTCTCTTTCTCGGCGCGACGGATCGCGGACGGGATCCTCGCGCGGATCGAGGGAGAAACGGAGAAACGGATGAAGTGAGAATATACGGGTAGAGTCGATTTAATTCCGTGCGGAGCGACGGTGCGCCAAACTGGTCGCGTCAACTGGGTCTCCCCGAGATCAGGCGCCGGGTTATCGATCGCGCGACATTGCCTTTTCCTGGGGAGGGGAGGGAGGCGACTACTGGCTTCTCCGCGAAGTCTTTGAGCGAGACGCGAAACGCGGAGGACTGGCTCCGAATCGAATGACGACGACGATGACGACGACGACGACGACGACGACGCGTACGGTAATCACGACGAATGTTTGTCAATGAGATTCACGGCCGTCGCAGAACTACGACCGCAGAGCTACGATTTTACGAATCGCGAGGAAAAACGCACGATGACGCGCGGAGCCGATCCGAGGGCGAGACAGGTCCACCCTGAGGGAGCTTACGGACACCCTCCACCGAGCGACGCCGTCCGCACGCGCGCGAACGATTATCACCGGGGAAAGCCGAGGGCGGACCGTCGCTTTACAACGGACTTTACACTTTCCCGTCGCGATATATACACTATAACAAGCGAAATCCCCGCTTTTGCGCAGAGGAACGACGGCGGACCAGCCGCTCTGGCCTCCGAAAACGTCGTCTGGCGTGCAGCCGCGTGCTCGCTTCACGCTGCGCCCCGGGTGCTACTTGATTAATACCTCGTTCTTCCGTTTTACCAAGTTTACTTTACAACCCAGCAAACGAGAATGGATTGAAATGAATTGAAATGGATTCAGATTTTCAGAAATATTAATTTACGAATGTTAAAATAAATGCTTTTCAATCCTGAATGCATTTTTATTTATTTATAGGAATTGTATGGAGCACATCTCTGTGCCTTTCAATCTAAAAATAATATTAGCTTTCTCTGTGCATTGTGAATATTGTTCAATTCAAAATTTGGAATAGAAAATGCAGTTTCTCAATCCAATTGCATTCAATTGAATCTAACTGAATTCAATTGAATCCAATTAAATTCAAAATAAGTATTCGCTATTTAAAATAGGCATTCGGATAGAAAAAAATTTTAATCCATTTTAATCCATTCTCGTTTATTGAGAAGGAAATGGAACTAATGAATAATTTCTTATTCTTTTTTTTGTCTATTTTTATCATATTGCACTGTTAAAAATTTCATGAAATTTAATGTACACGTTTATATTACATTTAAGTAACTATATACTGTAATTTAATTTTCAGTTAAATCATTACTACTTTAATTTCGTCCAACCACGAGCTTCATTTATATGTAAAGAAAGCATTTCTAACAGTGCAATGTTCCACTTTAATCTCGATTTAACTAAATCTTTATCTTTTTCTTATTCTAAGAATTAGAAAAAAATGAAGAGAAAATTCAACTGAGATTAAAGTTAAGAAATTAATCTAAATTGGTAAAAACTGACATTAAACGCAGTTCTACTAATTATCATTTTAGATTTTTAAAGTTAATTACATTAGTAGGAATAGACATTAATATAAGAACTATATAGAGGAAGAGTTTAAAAAATTTAGAGATTTAATAATGAATTCCGATCAATTTAATCGATGGTCAATTCGCAGAATTGCTTAAATAAAATTACTATTTATTTAATTCATCATTCTTTAATCTCTTTCTATGTTAAATAATAAGAATTATTAATAAGAAGTATTAATTCTTATCATTTATATATTCTATATTTTATTAATTCAACTAATTAATTGAAACTTCATGTTATAAAAATATTTATATACCCATATTATTAAAGTACTTGATATGAATTTAATCATTTTGTTGAATCGCTCCAAATATAGAGAATGCAAGGTAATGATATGACTTGCGTTTGTTCAAATATTAAAGATCTGTTTTTTTATATTAGCTGAACCATAATATATAACATAAACTCTTTAAAGTGAAATAAGTATATGTTTGACATATATTTAGTAAAAACAAGGAGGTAAATACATATCATTAAATTACTTGATAACTTAATCATTTTGTCGAATTACTCCAAGTATAGAGAATGCAAGGCAATGATATGACTTGCGATTTTCAAATATTAAAGATCTATTTTTTATATAGCTGAACCATAATATATAACATACGCTCTTTAAAGTGAAATAGGTATACATTTGATATACAATTGTACATTTGGCAAAGGCAAGGAGGTAAATTCTAATCCACAATGCGGCAATAAAAAACAAACCTCAAGTCGAATACAGGCAAAAATGCGCGTGGCGCGTGCAGGGTTAGTCACGGCCATGGACTTTTGATGGCAGTACGCGTCACCACAGGTCGATACATCTCGAAGTCGCACGAATACGATACCGCTCGATGCCGGACACTTTGTTCCCGTTGCTGTCGGCTGCCAGCAGTGCCAGCTGCATCCGGACGTCGCGACGCGACGCGACGCTCGCGATACGTAGACAGAGAGAAGAAAATCGTCCGTGCATTCACGATCTATCACGGTCCGAGTGAAGTGTTTGCAGATACGCGAGTCGACATCGAGATAATCCTTGACACGGGCCGGCAGTTCTAGATAAGTCATTATCTCGTAAATAGATATTCCTGTGAGGAGAGTCTACGCTGGAGTACGCCGAAATGACCAAGTCAGAGAATATCTTTCTCTTCGTGCCCAATATCATCGGTAAATACCTAATCTCGAGATATTTTCCTTGTGAGATAATCACACTGACGAGTGCGTCGTGTAGAACCATTTTTGTATTTGTATGTAATACGCAGTAAGACTGGGCAGGTATCGATGCCCGCCAAGATTCAATTGAATGAGACTCAGGTGGCTGGAAAATCGAATTTTCCCTCGACGAATCGTTCCGCGTAATTCCAAGTAATTCAGTCGATGAGACGATCGTATAAGACTACAAATCATGCGGCCGTTACGACGGTTTTAAAGTTGCCTTTATTGATTGAATCAACGCCGCTATTGTTTTATGTAACATTTATATCGGCCAGTCAATAATACATTTTCCTTGTAATTCTTTCAAAGCAGTTTCTATTTTCAGCATCTAGAAGCATAAATTTTGAATTATTTTCCGATTGATTATAATGACAAAACAGTAGTTAAAGTCATGTTTACATGCCAAACATGATAACAGCAGAAAATATAATTTTGCATTTCAATAGGTTTCGGCAGAGTGATTCTGGCATTGATTTCCTTCTACTTTATGTCCACCAACTACGTTATTGCATCATGGTGTTACGTGGTTAGTTCGTTGCTGGATGCGATAGACGGCCATGCGGCCAGGTATTACAATCAGAGCACCAAGTTTGGTGCGATCTTAGATCAGCTGACGGATAGAATCGGCACGATGTGTCTCATGGCTACGTTGTGCCAATTCTACGAACCCTATACCTTTTGGTTTCGAGTGAGCATGACTATCGACATATCCTGCCACTGGATATATTTGCACACGTAAGAAATAACGTATAATATATTTAGATTGTAATACATCAGTGTTGTCCAAGGTTTGTCATTCTAGACACTGGTTTGACATACATCAGCATTCACGCTTTTTACCTTCCTTTTCTTATCTTTATTTAAAAAAAAAAGAAAGTTAACAGGTGTGAATACTGATAGGTTAAGCCATTGTACAAAATTACAAATCTTAAACAGCACTCATAGACATAATAGGTGTAGACTGCGCATTGATCTTATCTTCTGTGCTTTGTTGAAAACAATTAAATATATTTCTCTTCAACTATCAGCTCTCTTTAGATGTTTTCTATAGCTGAGAACTAGTGCACACTTTTTAAAGTGAGATAGGTTTGTTTGATATTTGAAAGCGAGAAAGAGAATTGTAGTAGCTTAGTGCAAGAATAAAGAACAAATCTTTAATTTGATACTTTGAAGAAAGGCGATATGCCTTCAAGCTAGTGTTCCTATTATCGGAACTCTTCTTCCAACTTCACTCTTTTTAATCTAATAATAACGACTTCATAGAAATGCAGTCTGTTCTTATTACATCTAAGATAGCACTGCATTGTATGTATAATAATGTAACATAAATGTGTAATGTGTAATATGTGACGTAAAGGAATGTAATAATTGCTTTATCGAAATACATCAGGACTCTTCTGCAAGGAAAAACCAGTCACAAGTTTGTCGATATGTCTGAGAATCCGATCATGAGACTGTATTACACAAACCGCATGGTACTATTCTTCATGTGCGCTGGCAACGAAGCATTCTACGCTGGTCTGTACCTCCTGCATTTTACCCCAGGACCAATTTGTAAGTAACATTGCAATACCATATTTCTTTCTCAAATGTAAGAACGTATAATGACGTTTTTTTTTATCTTGCAGTTGCTGGTATGAGTCTGTACAGTTTAATCGTGCACTTGACCTTCCCGATAGCACTCGTCAAAGCTGCTATCTCTCTATTACATGGATACGTGGCGTGCATCAATCTCAGCATCATTGACGTGAAAGAACGCCAGGAGCGGCTTAAAATAAATTAAGAATCTCTCGCTTTCTCAACGCATTGTTTGCTAGTCAAGTTAAATGTGATCTACAATCTTCCTATTCTATAAATTGATACACGCATGTTTACATACTTCCATATATATTTTTAAGAAGCAGAAAGAACGTGTTTAAAAATGCGTGGTCAAAAGATGTCTCTATTTAACTTATAGACCTATCTTGTAAGCTCTGAGTGTCATTATCGCTATATATTGTCCCAGATATAATGTACCTACGGTACATAAAATGTTTAATGATAACGACACTCGTTAAAAGTTACAGGATAGGCCTATGATGCGTAGGAAATATTATTCTTTAAAAATAACCTGAAGATAAATGGCCAAACTCTCTCACGTTAGAATATATTCCTAAAATGTATACTTTTACGAAAGAGGAGAGGAACTTATTTTTAAAGCACTAATAGTGACAAAGACCAAAATATTTCGTTACCAATATGACATAGTTTCATAGGCTGCGTTCAGCAGAAAAACGGTTTTGCAATTGTCGTAAAGTTTTTTAATATGATTGATCTTACCTTTAGTTCCTTATTGGATATAAATGTATAAACCAATCGTTAAAGAATTTTATAATTGTCAAACTGGTTTTTCTGCTAAACGCAATCATGGTCTCCACAACCTTGCTTTAAGAGGTTGTAAGCCTTAAACCAAGAAATTGATCAATAACAGTTGAATATGAGAAAAATAATCTGTAATTGGTCAATTTCTTACGGTTTTACGGCTTAGGGCCTTTTAAAATAAGATTGTGGACTTAGACATAGTCTTGTTGTGTAGCATATCGTTTATAGCATTTATTACAATATATATACTAGAACAGTAAGTTATCGATGTTCTATTTTCAAGATCTTGGATATGTAGAAATTACAGATTCCTGTGCATCAATATTTCTTATATTTTTTTATATTTTTCCAGTAGACAGTTTAGAGGATCTAACATTCTTCGTGTAACACATCCTACATGTAGCAAAAATGATTTCGATGTATTACAATGTGTTGAATAAAACAGAAATTTTAACATTTCTTCGCTTAAGTCTATTGCACTGAATTCTATAAATATCAAAATCAGTATATACAGGAGAACCTGTAATTGTACGTACATTATGCATACATCAATTCTATTCAATTTGCAACATATGGTAAACAGAAATAATATTGAAAAAAAGCACTATAAGCATAGTAGTATCTTTTCAACTAAATATAAATATAATTGTTTGTAAAATACAAACTCAAAATAAAAGATATATTGTTAATACATCAAACGATAAGAGAGAAAAAAATATTCTCAATTTGTGATGTAAAGCACTGTGTAAAGGAAAGAATAAGGGACCGTGTAGAATACGCTTTGAATATGTTGCAAATAGTCGACATATTTCATATCATCGCGCTCGTTCTGTACTGGGAACCTGACGACGATGTCACCGCGAGGACAATGACGCGCGTGACTATACCGCAATTGAGGCATCTGCCCATAAAAACAGCGTTAATTATAAAACGTGACGGATAATTTCGCAGGCGCGCGACCGGACGCGCGATACGTTTAACGGGCCGCGTGTCCACGTACGGCACGAGAAGAAATGACTGGCGAACAAAAGGAAATTGGACATTGCGATGACACAGCGGACTCCGGGTGAGAAGGTGGAAACGAACGAACGTACTAACCTCAAACTCCTCGCTCCCCCGACGTGACCAGTCATAATTTCGGCGCCATATTATCACTTCAAACACTCGCGCATATCGAGGAAAGTTGGCCAACCTCTGTCGGAGCACCTTCTTCTTATCGCCGGGATACCATGAAGGACGATCGTCGCGGCGCACAACCCGCGGGAACGCAGCGGAGGGTGTCGGTCGACGAACGTCGGAAGTTTCGAACGCGAACGCGGCACGCGTAGCAAAGTACAATATTTATAAAAACAGATGAGGATCCAGAGTACCGGCGCTCGTCGAGACGGCGCGATTAGGCAGCGAGACGGTAGCGCCACCATCGCCGCCGTTGGCCTTTAGCGCCGGCCGATGTCCCTTCGCGACCATTTCAAATCTGCGGATAACCGCCGCATCCTGTCACCGAACGCCTCTAATCGATGCGATAAAGCGAGCCGAACGCGCCCATCGCGATTACTTCGTTATGCTTCGTCACGCGATCTCGACGTCTATCGCGACAAACACGTCAATATTAAAAAAAAAAACTAATTACTCTCCCATCTAATAAATCTCACGTCGAGTTCTCGAATGACGAATCGAAAATAAGGAGCCTCTATATTTCATGAATTTATATTTCTCTCTTTTTCTTCTTCCTCTCCTTTTTACGAAAAAAAAAACCTATTAAATTTTAAACCGATTGAATTTGAGCAAAATTCAACTGCTCTCCTTGTTCTCTTTAGTCTCGTAATACAACGACAAGCTGTTCGCTAAGATTCAAATCTGCCCTTGAAGGATATACCAACTTTAGATTTCCTTGGGTGTCGACTACTTTAACTTGTTGAACCGTCAAGTTGTTACACTTGTTATCTGTATCCTTCGATTCTGTGGAATCGGTGAGACCCGAGACTATCAATTCCCTCAGAAATTGATCTAATACATTCCTGGGAATATAAGAGTACAAATATTATTAGAAAATTAATTTCTTTTTTAGGCGTTTCATTTACTGATTAACTAGTATTTAGATTTAACCTGTTTTATCCAATATTGATTAAATATTGGCTTGATATTGATCCAATATATCTCCAACATTTAGCAAAGGTATCATCAATTACTACTAGAATAGATTAATTTTAATTTTGGTTCAAGTAACTCTGTCTTTTTCTGGTTCTAAGAATTAAAAAAAAAATAAAGAGTAAATTGAACTGAGATTAAAGTTAATCTACATCGTTAGAAATGAGTATATAACTGATTGATATCTTAGCTTACAACTTATTATACTTATTGTATATATTTCGGGATTTACAGTTAAAAAGGATTGAAATATATCGTTTAATATTACATACCACATTAGAATCTCACCTGCAAATTGTATATGATATAGCACTAGTTACTTCCACGAGCATCTCTTGGGTGGCTACAGACATTTTCGTTATGTCACTGTTTGTGATGGGTGGAAATGAAATAACCTGCTGCGACTGGTCCAACAGACATGGGAATAACGGTTTGCCTTCAAGCAGATATAAATATTTGTGTATTCCAGAATACACATTTCGTTTCTTCTCTTTACGTAGAGCCTCAGCTTCCATCTGCAACTTCTGGAACAGATCCGCGCCTGTGTATATCTTGTTGTACATTAGAGGCTTTATCTTCAATTCTGTAGGCACCTCCGCCGTATATGTGAGATCTCCTATGAGTAACAAAATGTGTCTTAATACAATATTTTAATGCACAAATAATATATTATATACTCTTATTATATACTCGATATCTACCAGGTACAATGAGTTTCAAATCGTGAGTCGCTATTGTAGCTGCATTTCTTTTCTCGCATATTCCATCGTGTAATCTTGTTTGCAGCTGAATGAATTTTTTGAAATTCTCCTCTGTGAAGCTTATATTTTTCACGATGCACGCAGCTATATAAGGCCTGATACTTTTTACGTGTTCTGTAATTTTTATTACTGGTGTGTCGTCCAATATTTTCAAGACTTTTAATTTATGCGCCAAGCTATCGACTACACTTTCACTTTCGGAGACTTTCTGACCCCTTTTTCCTTTCTTCGACGTATTATTTTCTGTCGTGGACAATTCACTTCTTGGACAGTGCGACTTGATGTAATCCAGTATTTGCTTCGTGGAGCATTGATTAATTAATTTTGTTAGCCTCCTATCTGACAATTTATTCTCCTGCAGATACACCTCTTTCAGTTTACTACAATCTGCTAATTCACTTGGTACAACTGCGTGTTATAATACAATTATGTATTACTTATCTTTGAATGTTTAATGATACTTAAGAATATTTAAGGATATAATTCAACAAGAAACATACATATATGGTATGGAAATAAAATTGTATTACCAGAAATTGAGTTATCTGCTATATTTAAGATCTTCAATCCCTGTAGTCGGCTTATAGTAATTGGAATTTCCGTTATATAATTGCCATTAACGTGAATCTCGGACAAATGTACGAGTTCTGTATGACAAACGTCGGGAAAGGCCTTAAGCTGATTGTTCGATAGATCTAGGATGCTCAATTTTGTACACAAAGTTAGCGATGGTACGTCTCGTAGACAATTTGAGGCAAGATTGATTGTGCTTAAATGGGGATGATCACCGAGTTCTCTCGGGAGAGAGGTCAACTTGTTCCTCGAGCAATCGAGCACCTTCAGCTTGGCCAGTTTAGCTATCGCGCATGGTAACGCGACGATCTCGTTCGAGTACAGCACCAAAGTCGCAAGATTCACCAGCTTCTCGATTTCATCCGGCACTTCCTGAAGACACGTATATGTTATACTAAGATAATTCAAATTGTGAAGGTTAAACAAATTCTTATCCAGGCCGTGCGTGTTTTTGATCAGTTGGGACACCGACGTGCCCGACAGCACCAACTCGTGCCTGTTTTTCTCGGCCGCTTGTTTCACGGCCTCCCATGTCATTGTGGCGATTCCTCTTGTTCAGAATTTTATTCACTCTCGTGCAACCACGATGTAAACAGATAAGGAACGTTTTGAGGTTATCTATGTCTTGTAGGTAGGTCGATTCATGATGTAATGCGAGTTAACTTGCATCATCGGTCGGCTGAACTTGATCGATTAATCGAATCTCGTTCAAATTCAAACCTCGATTGTTCCTTCGATTCGATTTTTTCAAATGTACGAATTCGAAGAAATTCTGACTGTCTAATGTCCATTTCTATCTTATATTCAATGGGTGCGTTTAGAGAGACGTTATTCGCTCTATTTAGTGCTATAAGCTGTTCGCGGAGCTACAAATAACGCTAACAAACACAATCTTGACGTCATTGATGGTATGTCTGTTACATCACAACTGCGTGATGTAACATACTACCGTGATGCTATCAACGCTAAAATGCGTTCCACTTAACGCTCACAACGCCCGTGGAATCATTTCACCCTTGTCGTTTATCAAATGTTAAACAAGGACAAACGATGCTTGCAAGCGTTAAGTGGAACGCAGCTTTATAATTCCTCCCGCGGTAGTGTATTGGTAACGTTAGCGTTTGCAAGCTCTGTGAACAGCACTGTGTTATTGCACGCGATCGAATGTTGTTTCAAGAACCGTTACAGATTATAAACTTCCCCTGCACCGTCTATAAGTTCTCTATATACTCAAAAATTCAGATCGCATTGTTCACTGCAAGTACCGTCCTCTACAGCACAAAGTTGCACAAAAGTTGCAGCAATATTGCATGCTGCAGCAATATTGCAGAGATTTCGCAACGATATTACTGCAAATTCTGTGCTGAATGGGGTAGGATATACGTAACGTAAATTTTAAATTTTCTCGCAGTGAATATAACAAAATGCAATTTCAATTGCAATATCTATAATGGCTTACCGCTAAGCAAAAATCGCCATTAACAAGGTATCTCCAACCTTTTACACATTTATGATGAAATCAAATACGCAAATTATAAACTCGACAGACACTTTGAAAAATTAAAGATGATACTTACAGCAAGAATACGTTTATTCCGACCTGGCAGCATCATAGAGATTGCAATTGAGATTGCATTCTGTCTTCTGTTATTCACTACGAAAAAATTTAAAATTTATGTTACGTATACCCAACGCGAAACTCTAAAAATTTAAATTAATAGAGAAAATAGTTTGGTGGGTAGTTTGAAAACAGAATCCTCTACATTAACTTCGAATGTTAAACGCTATCAACGCCACGCTAGGATCGTTCATGAAGATTGCTAACACTATCACGTTATTGGCTCCATGAATAGCGTTGGTAGCGTTTACGTTTATGGCACAAATAGTAGGGAGTTTTTGCAGTAATGTGAATCCAGATACGGTGAACGCTGAAGTCATGTTATCCTTTTTTTAATTAGTTGTTAAGAAGAAGATAACCTGACCTTAGCGTTCATTGTTATTGCAAAAACTTCCTCTTGTTCTCCCAGAACGCACCTAATATAACTTTAAATCTCAGTTTAATTTACTTTTTATCTTTATCTAATTCTAAGAATTAAAAAAGTACATAAAATAATAAATTAAACTGAAAATAAATTAGATGATTTACATTGATAGAAGTGGGCATAAATCGTCTGATTAACTTATCAGGTAATATTTTATTAACATTAAATTCATTAATTTCTTTATTATTTAACACGTGGGGAGAGAAATTCGATTGTGAATTACGCAGCTCGAAATCTTGCCATAAGCAATTTTGATGATCTGAGTTAATTAATGATTAATTTAGCAATTAATTAGCGATTAATTGTTAATCAAGTAATATGTACTATTTTGTTAACGTGAGTAGAATAATTAAACTTTTATTATTTAATACATAAAAAAAGAGATGAATTATCGAGTTTAATGAATTATATAATTTAAATTTTTATGAGTATATTTTGCAAATATTTTTTAACAAATATCTTTTTTAACATCAAACTAATCACATAAAAAAAGTTCAAGATTGAATAAAAATATATATTTAATATTAATTAAATACTATAATATATTAAAATATACTAAAATTAATTATATAATTTTGGTTAAATTTTTGTCGTACAGATTTGTCTATATAATTTTAGTTTTATAAACTTTTATCTTTCTCTCTCTCTAAATGTAATAAAAACGTTAACCCCAGAAATACAGACCTGTATGTAAATGGTGTGCGCGGACGGGACTGATTTATTTCTTTTTTAACCAAAAATTATCGTGTTGCTTGTATAATAGAAAGGGGGACCTAAGTTCTAACATTTACTAACAGTTCTAGTATGCCGTTTCAAACAGGTTTTAGATAACGCGCAACAGAATTTTCGTAATGCGGCTTTTAGCCTCTTGCTATCTGTACGCTAGTTAAACATTGCGATATTCATAGGTTCGCAATTGGTCGCTACCATTTGTAATCACTCGAATGATTATAAAAAACCGGCATTTTGCCTATTATTCCTTGAGTGCGGAAAAACCCAACGATGTCAACGTCTTTTCGCTGTATTCTGTACAAAAATTTTGTCCATTGCGAATGTTAGAAGTGAGATCCCTTTTTTTGAATCCCTAATTAAAATCCAATTGGATTTCTTAAAAAATTTTTGGATTCTAGCTGGAAAAATTCATGAAGGCTCAGATCTGGATATACGTGTATTTAAAAACTTTTATGTGAAAAACAGTGTTTGTAAGATCAATTGTATTTCGTATTTTGTATTTCATAAGAGTATGGTATAATGTAAAAGTATTTTGTATTTTGAATTTTAAATTGACAATCAATTTCATTATTTGAATTACAAAATACAAAAACTTTCGATTTTAAACACAAAATACGTGATACTTTCATGTGCTAAAATACAAAATACAAAATATATTTGTACTACAAATGTGTTTTAAATAAAACTATTTCAAATACAAGCTCAGCCTTGTGAAGATTGAGAAATAGAATATTTTGTAAACCCATAAACAGAAAGTTCAGATAAATCCCGGGAAAAAAATGATATATATATCATATTTTATATATAATTATACATAATTGTATATAAAATATGTCAATTTTTATATAATTATATATAATTATATATGAAACATTTTTTCCCAGGATCCCATTCTCTACAACATTTTTCTAAAGTTCTTTTTGATTTTATATTAGTGAGTTATTTGAAGTACTTTGCACACATCTACATTTCACAAGTAACTTCTTGCAAATATTTAAAGAATGTAATCATTTAAAATATCTCAAGCATTTTGTTTAAGTTTCTTTTCTTAAATTAAATGAATGTTTTAAGTGTATCATAATGGTGAGTATAATATCGAAACGGGTGACAAAAATGTCGTCCTTGGTTATTTAATTGCTGTCATACATCGAGGTTCTTCGATGACAAATGTTTGTCTGGCAAGATTTGCATGTGAATGACTTCGTGTCGGGATATTAATCCCGCCGTTCTATGTGCTAATAATGCCGTTCTCCTATTATGCAGACGTATACTTGACGCATCAAGTGGCAATGACCATTTAAACGGAATCTGAGCTACCTCATTTCCGTAAAATCATCTCGCCCTTCTAAAATTGTTTATTTCTTATTCCTTCATACATGCAAATAAAATATAGATATCCCGAGACACCAATCAAGATTTATTCTCTAAAATTATTTCAACTTAATATCTAAAATTTTTATTAAAAAACATAGAACATATTTTACAGATGAATCTTTAGTATCCATAAGTTGATGCCTTTTGGAACCAAACACAGGATGTCGATGCGTAATAAGGTTTATTAATTCTAATGTCTTATATATACGTTTCGATCTAGCTTCGGATCCTTTTCAATGCACATTGAACGAACTCATCGAGTTTCCTAACGCACCAAATGTAATCCACAAATGTAATCCATATCTCATTGTTAACATAATTAGAAAAAAATAAGTATTGACAAGAAATAATAATCTTATACATTAAAGTCGTGAACAACTACTAATTTGAAAAACTTACATGATATTTGTTAAGCTTATAAAATATACGTGTCATCTGTACGGACGTTACGATACATTTAACAAAGCTAAAGTACAAATCACGAGTATTAAAGCATAAATAACAGAGATATTGAAGAGAGGAAAAACTCAGCTATTTTCAAATAAAAGGTCATATGCTTCGTTTAATGAATCCGTGTCTGATACTTTAATATATTAAATTATTATTTCTTGTCAACACTTATTTTTTTCTAGTTTGTTCAATGTAGTATTGAGGATCCGAAGTTGGATCGAAACATACGTATAAGACATTAGAACTTATGGATTAAAGATTCATCTGTAATGAACCTATTTACAACTAATATTTAATTCATATTATATTTTACAGAATTTGCTTAATGCTTAAATCGACGCTTAATTAAATACTTTTGAATTGATTGATTACTAAGTAAGTATATTAAAATTGAAATAATTGCAATTCTCGCGCATCAGTGAGAAAATATTTCCTCTCAATATCTCCTAAATTAGAATATTAACTTCTCTGGATTATAACATCAGTAACGATTGATCCATATGTCATCGAGATTGCGAAAGTATTAAGAATTCGACCTCCTCTAAAATAACCGCCATGTCGGGAGGATTAATGATTCATAACAGCGGCCTCGAGGTCTTGGTGTCGCACCTTCGAGGTATCAGAGAGATACCAGGCGTAAATCTGAGCTCGCCATCACCCAAAGTCCACGGTTATCAACGGATGGCCCCGATCATTTCCGGAGTCACTTCCTACAGCGAGTACATCCGTGCGGGTGGGGCACAGATTTTTTTTTCCATGTGGCGTATATAAAAACGAGAACGACCCGAGTGGTTACGTATCATTCGCGCTCGTTGTCGCGTGACTGTAAAGGTATCTAAAGGTACCTAGACTTCGTATTCCGTGATACTTCTTACTTGATCCGATTGAATGTCGATCATGCCGTGTGGACTATTAGCTACCCTCTTGTGGACGCTTCTCGTCGTGACGTCGCAGACGTTTGCGTGGCCGAGCTTTCGTCGTCGGGACATTTTCGACAACGCCGTGGACGGTTCTGGTGGATTGATCGTTCATCTGCAGAGTTTTGGCAGTTTACTCTACAGATACCCGAGCAATGAAACTGGATCGAAGGTAGCACAGTGGCGCGAGGATATGGAAGTAAACCCGGAGGAGTTGGGCGAGTACGTGGAAGGAGACATCCTGTTTCCGTCGAACATTGGAAGAAACGGTCTTGCAGCGATCTCCGCCCGGTGGCCCAACGGCATCATTCCCTTCATAATTAGCCCTTATTTCAGTGAGTAACTTCTCGAGAATCAGACACCCTGTGCACGACAGTTTCCTTTGCTTATTTTTTAGAAATTGCGCGTTTTGCATTATCTTATGTCAAAGTCATAACATACTTATTATTATAAGTATAACTAAGTTATTTTATTATTTCGTTTGATAATGTCGAGTACGAGTGTTAATTGAGCATTCAGATAATTCCCAGTGAACGCTAACTAACGCCAGTTAATCCTTAGAATACATAATTGTAATCATTCGTGTCTTGTATAACATTTCTTTTCTTCGATTAAAGCTAAGAGTATCGAGTAACTAATTATATACAATTTTTTGAAATACACAATCTTCCAAATATTTTCTAAAGATGTTAAAGCATATGTGAGGATCACTTAATAATTTTCGTATATTTGTTAAAGTCATGAAAATTAATCCCGAACATGAATGACCTATCATGTATAGTTTAAGGACTGGAAAATCATTATGTGTACTAGTTCATTATATTGCATTATATTAAATCGGAAATTATAATTAACATAACTTATGTTAATTATGATTTCCCACTCAACAATACTTATAACATAACACACAATTACAGTTATATAAAAAAATGTAATAATTAACGGTTTCCAAGAAACATTAAGTTTAAGAGAAAGTCAAAATGATTTATTTTGATCATTACTTTTTGATGACTCATTTAAAGTCAAAATGATGAGATCAAATGATTTTTTTTTTGTTACAAAATTTGACTGTTTATTGACGTTCAAGAATCAAAATAAAGTCATTTTTATTTTTTGTGATTCTTAAGAGTTAAATTGGTGTTTGCTGGATTGCGTATTTAAACATCTTTCTGAGCAATTCTTGAAAGCTCTCTTCTTCATCACTTAAGACCGTTATATTTTTGCCCTTTCATTTGTATCACAGACGCACAGCAGCAGAAAGTTATATACGACGCAATGGACGACTATCACAAGTACACGTGCATCAGATTTAAGCCGTACACGGGAGAGGAAAGTGATTACGTCAGAATCACAGCCGGTAACACCGGATGCTGGAGCAGCGTGGGTAGGATCGGTGGCCGGCAGGACATAAACCTTCAGGTTCCCGGTTGCCTGACGCAGAAGGGCACGGTGATACACGAGCTGATGCACACCGTTGGCTTTTTGCACGAGCACAGCAGATACGAGCGGGACGATTACGTGGATATTTTGTGGGACAATATCTTGAACGGTGTGTACTCGTACTCCCACTCACAAACAATAAAATTATCTAAAAGAAAATACAATCATGAAATTTAACGCTCTCTTGACACTTTACTTTTTCGCGTCGCTTTGGTTTTTTATATCTTATCTATTATTTTTTAAAGCTAAAGAATCTTGAAAAATTGATCATTTCTAATGAAGACTGAACCGAAAACCGTTTTGTCTATTTATATAATATTAATATTAATAGTATTTAATATTATTCAGTAATAACTGATATAATAATTTAAATAACGCGCTGTTTATTTGGTATTGGTTTTTTACTTGTATGATTTGTGAAATGTCTTCTATCGTTCTCTATGGTAAGGTGACGTTTAAACGTCAGCAAGATGTCATTAAAACGTTACTTTATTGCTTGGGTTACAGCGCATAAGAATTGCCTTATTACTAATGTCTTCAATATTAAATATGAACGATTCTTTATATCGTAAAATTTTAAATTGACTTTTTATACGCAACACGTTGCGACAGCAAAATGCTATTATTGGTTAAAAATTGTTCGTGAGGTGACGCACTTTCAATCAGTTCTCAAAAATTTGAATCTCATGACATTTTGCTGTGTAGCAATGTGCTACGCATGAAAAGTCAACTTTACAGTCATCGGTCTAATAACCGGCCGAGGTTATCTCTTTTGCATAAAATTTTATTTTTGAAATTCTGTTCTTATCACGTGCGTTATGCATGTAGGTCACACGCACAATTTTAATAAGGCTCCCCCGGAGATTACCCATGCCTTTGGAGTCGGTTATGATTATGATAGCGTGATGCACTATTCATCGATAGCGTTCTCCAAAAACTATCAATTAAAAACTATCGTACCCAAGGTAGGCAATTCCTATAAACATTATCATATGTGTTGTCTGTGCTTTATCACTAATTAGATTACATGAATAGTTTGATTGCTGGATGGAGCTTATGCAGACAAGAGTTATTGAATTTGCCAGTATAATAAAAAAAAAGAACATTTTGCGAATTATGAAAAGTATGTTGTATTGTATTATATATCATATATATATCTATATGCTTGTATGTGTCCGTAGAGACAACTGAACGGAATATTGGATATTATTGGCGGAATATTCCAAGGAAATAGCGAGATAAAACTCGGTCAGAGGCAAGGCTTCAGCAAGAAGGACATTCTGAAAATCAGGAGGATGTACAGATGCGGCAAACGTACTGGCATAATCAACTACGATGACTATCAGTACTGATGAACGAATATTGATGGTTTAGCAACGTTTTCGCACGTGTTAATACAAATAAAAAAAAAAAGAAATGTTTGATTAGAGAATTAATTACTTAATAAGAATCTTTCCGTAAAAAAAGAGCATCTAGTCTTATGTGCAAACAATATGATTATTTTTTTTACAGACGAACAATTAGTATATGTAAACAATTAATATAAACAGTATTATTATATGCTAATATAATTATTAATCATATATCTTAATATCATGAATGTGTACTTATCTTATAAGTTACAATATACAAATGCATCACCCTTTCTGAATTTTTTCATCCTGCTTTAATTAAATATTAAATGTTAATTAAATATTAATGGAATATTAAAATTTATGAGCAATAATAAAGAAAACATTCTGAACATTATCGATTGATAAAGAAAACATTACGTAATTCGTATTGATAAAATATATTCAAATAGATGAGCTATATCGCGATAAAATATAATATTTATTATTGATATATTATTTTAAACGTATTTTATTTCTTGCTAAATTAATTTTTCTAGAAGTATAGATAAATATGGCAATCGAATGATATATTTCTTTATCTGTAATTCAAATATTTATTAATAGTTATACGAGGGTTGTTTGAAAAATTTTGAGCCTCAACATGAAAATAACATTATTCGTCAAAATCATTCTGGTACTACAATCGTACATTAAATTAATATAAAGGCTATGCGAGTCAGTATGCAATTATCAATGCGCAAATTAAATTAAAATTATTTTATTACAAAAAAGCTTGATCATACATAAATAAATTTCGAAATATACATTTCGATGCAATTTTGAACCATCAGCGTGAACCTCTCATGACAATATTAAGAACTAAATTATTATAATTTAATTTGTTATTTTATTTATATAAAGGCTTTTAGCTTTTATACTAATTTATTTTAAATTTGAGGAGTCCATATATTAATATTTTTTAATTGTTACAATCGTACATGTTTTGCAACATACTTGTGGAAATTGTAGCCATTATGAACGGTCAATTATTGTTTGAGAGTCATTTGTGCCAGTCGATGTCAGTAGGTGCTTTCCATTTGATGACACAAGTATCATTCTATCTTTATTATTCTCTGAATGTCAAGAAGGATAGAACGACGCTTGTGTCGACTCGGATTGATTTATGTCATCAAATAAAAAGCATCCAGTGTCTTCGTTTGATGAAAATCTGTGTCCTCCGAGTCTTTAAGCCTAGGAAACAGGAAAAAATCGTTGAGAATCAGATCTGATGAATACGGTGGGTAGTTAATTAATTTGAACCACAATTTGTAAATTTTTATTATGACGATTGTCGATATTTGATTTTTTCAACAATTGAGCGTCCAAAATGGCTACAATTTTCACAGGTATCTTGCAAAACATGTACGATTGTAGTAGCAGAAGGGTTTTTGATAATATAGATGAATATGGCAGTCATTCAATTGTCATATTTATCTTTCTATAAAAATAAATTTAGCAAGAAATTTGCTGAGATAATATCAAAGATAATTATATCATGAAGATATCGTTTTCGGAGAAAAGATAATGTCAATGTCGTGTCCGACTTTTTGAACGTTTCAGATAATACAAACATAATTAGACGCAAACTTATTTTATTCATCTGTTCAAATTTACCAAATTGTTTAAGATATTATAATAAAAAGATATTAAAAATTTACATTTATTTTACCGTACATATAATAAACTCTTCGTTTTTACGTTAAAAACTGTTGTTGTACTTTCTGTTTACTATACAAATTTTTTATAATATTATAATATTATAATTAAAGAGGTTCTCGCGTTTGATGAAATATAAGACAAATCTATAATCTATAAGTCTATGTAATACAAATGTTAATAATATCAATAATATCTAGAAAAAATTTTATTGACTCTTACCATACCATTTTAAAGATGTTTAATTCTAAATGTATAGAATTTTACATTACAAGTTAAAGGTGTAATCTTAATCTAGTAGTTATTCTCTTTTAAATAAAGATATTTGTGCATAAGGCAGCAATTTAACAATCGTTATAATTGTAAAGTAAACACTTAAATTTGTTCCCGTAAAGTTTTATTTAAATTGACCGTACAGTTTACAAGAAATTAATATTTTTCAATGAAGAAAGCTAGAATATATGTCAAATGGACGATGCGTATACATCAAATGTGCATCTTACAACTTTTATTTTATCTTTTTTTTTGAAAATATTTAGTAACATATAAAATTAACAATTATGTATAATGGCATAAGATATTGTTAATAATCTTTTTATTTTAATTATTTTATGTATTATTATGATTAAACTGTCTATTAACTAGGAAGTAGTGCGAAAATCTCCTTAATCATAATTTGATAAAAATGTAACTGTAAATTACACTCATCATAAATATCAAACACTTACAGATATTATTTTGACAAAGATCTATCTACAAAAATCAAAATCGAACAAAATGTATAGTTCTAAACACGATAAGATCGTTTAATTGAACACTCATGTTAATCAAAGAAAGACTGATCGTAATCATCAGTAAGTTTGTGAATGGCATCTTTAGATATTTATTGGCCACCTAATATTAGATAGGAGGTACAGAAAATTTTTGAGATAAATAAAAAGGGGAACGATATAAAACTCTATTACCGCATTCGCTTTCGTCGTCACTATATATTAAATCAGTAACTTACTGATTTAACATTGATCATGTCGGGTCTATCGTCAGCATGGACGCTTGTCGTTCTTACAACATTTGTGTCGGCGGTTCCAATCTCTAACGTAGAAGATACCTTACAAATGGCCCTGACAATTCCGGACAATGAAACGGGAGTTAAAGTATCACAATGGGCCGTAAATATGAACATAAATCCTGAAGAATTGGGCAACTATTTGGAAGGAGACATCATGATCGCAAAAAGCTTCACACGAAACGGTGCGAAAGATGAAAGTCTTCGTTGGTCTAATGGCGTTATTCCTTACGTAATCATGGGTAACTTCGGTAAGTATTTTGAAATTCAGCCATCCTAATTAATCAATTTGTTTATTCATCAATTCAATTATTTCACAATGTGTTGTAAGTAATTATACGGGAGAGATCCAATTTAACAAGTATTAATCTTTTATCAAATCGTTTATCAATAAATAAAATATAAAATAAAGAGTGCATTTGTAGTTCCATATTACTAGATTATATATTATATAATATGCAGTCTTTTATGCATACAATATTTTATAAGAACATAAGTGTTGTACAAGAATATTATATTTATTTTTTATTTCAATGTACAATAAAAAAATGTATATATTATAATATTTTTTAGGATAAGATAAAAAAAATCTCTTTTTACATTTGATGTTAATTTAGCTTATATGTTACATTTCAAAATATCCAAGATTAAAGCATGTTGGAGACATTAATTTATTTTCAGAATGTCTATCAATTATCCCATTCTTAGCAATATATTAAAATAAAATAAGATAAAGATACATTTATCATTATTAAATTATTTTATGATATTGCCAGTGGCAAAATATAAATAAAAATTTAAATGTAAACAAAAATAGTCATCTGGAAATGATATACGTTTTTATCATGTTTAAAATTATTTTATTATTTACGTTGATAAATTTTGTATCGCAGATTACGATCAGTTGAATCTTATACATGAAGCAATAAAGGAGTATGAGAAGTATACATGTATCCAGCTTAAACCAAGAACAGACGAAGAGGATTATGTCAAATTTGTTAGTTATAATACTGGATGCTGGAGCTACGTTGGCAAGATTGGCGGTGAACAATCAATAAACTTACAAACTCCTGGTTGTGTAACGAAAAAGGGTACTGTAATACATGAGATCATGCACGCTACTGGCTTTTGGCACGAGCATACTAGAGATGACCGAGATAATTACGTGACTATCAACTGGGATAATATTGAAGAATGTGCGTATATTCGTAATTTAAAAATAAGAGATTTAAAATAAGAGATAACTTTCTTGAATGAATATTTCAAAAATTACATGCAAATGTCTTGCATTGTCATTTATTAATATTAACTAATTTTATAGTATTATATCAAAATAATGTATGCCATTTTTTCAGCCGGAAAAATTTTTTTTTGTATCTATTTGCAGATTGATTCATAAAAATTTCTAGAAATTTTCTATTCCTTCCTTTACGACTTAAGAATTATTAATTACTTAACAATAAAATAATAAACGACTATTTGTATAAATATAACAATTTATTCTAAATGCTGTAATAATTAAATGAAAATATTCTGCACAGCTACATTATAAACTATTTACTTTATTTTGTGTATCTAGCAAACACGGGTAATTTCGTCAAACTTTCCTCAAATATCCAAAATTATGGTATTCCTTATGATTACGGTAGCGTGATGCATTATTCAGCGTACGCATTTTCCAAAAACCCTATTATAAGAACTATCATTCCCAAAGTAAGTGATAATTACTTTTTATAAATAAATCTCTATAGAATTTATTGTCAGTTACATTATTAAACAGAAATAAATTCGAGATATTGATTTGCTAATTTAATATAGAAAAAACTTATACATACTTGTATATTATACGTTACATCAAATTATGTGTATCTGTTGTGCGTTTATCTGTTAAAACAATCTTTGTAGTGACATTAATGATTCTATTATTGAAATTTTCAGAATCCGTCAGCAAAAATCGGTCAGCGAGACGGACTTAGCAAGTCAGACTATCAGAGAATTAACAAAATGTATAACTGCAATGTGTGTATAGTATAACTGCAAGTAAAATAAAGGTTTAATCGACTGTTCTATTCAGAGATCCATACTGATGAATGGATTACGATTGCTGTCATGATAACGTGAATAAATAAGTGTGAATGAATAAGTATAATAAATAAGTACAAAAATTAAAACTGCGTTTTGTCTTTATTTGCGATTTTCTCCAAAACGTAGCAAAAACGAGCATATCTTTAAAAGACCTTCTTTCTAGTTTATTGATCCTCTACACACTCCCAAAGTTTTCACATTTAAATTTGGGATACACTGTATATGAACATATTATGATTGATTTACTAATTCTTTTTTCTATGCACGTTTTTATTGTGTATATGAGGTGCGGATAATACACATTGTTATTCATATTCATTTATTTTTGCAATTTTATATATTATCATATAACTTAATTTTTATCAATCATTTTATATAAAAAAAATTATATTTATTGATTAAAGATACATATAAATATTTTATTTATTTTTAATTATGTTTTTAATTATGGTTAAATATTACAT